GAGAGAGAGAGAGAGAGAGAGAGAGAGAGAGAGAGAGAGAGAGAGAGAGAGAGAGAGAAGGAGGAGGGGGTGTTCTGTAGCTGGAACTGGCCTAGAACTTGCTTTATAACCAGGTCTTTTCTCAAACTTGTAGCAATCCTCCTGCCTCAACCTCCCAATTGTTATTACAGGCATGAGCTGAGAAATAGGTTTCATCATAAATAAGAATGAATCTAGTTTGTCTCTACTATAAGTTGTCTTTCGGGTCTAAGTGGAGGCAGGTTGGTTTATCACTAACCACGCCTGGGCTCTCTTAACCTAATTCTATGTCCTTCCTTTATCCACGGAGGACCTGCACATCTTTGACTGAGATGGCAAGACTCTAAGCTAACCGAGTTTTTGCATTTCTGAAGTGCTGTTAGGACAAAGATGTTAAATCGAAGACTAAGCTGAGGATACAGCAGAGAGAAGAAAACGCCCGTGCTGTGTTGTTGTTCCATTTTCTGCTAGAAACAGGTCCTGAAGCTAGCTAGACCTTTTGTGAAATGGCCCTCAGGCCCAAAGTGAGGCCTGGCTGGGATGGAATGTTTTGAAAACGGAGGAACCCTGCAGCCAAACAAACTAGGTAAAGATGACAAGGGACTTTATTTCTCTCACTCAGATGAGCTCACCACATTTAAGAGCTTAGTTTAAGAAAATGCCATTAGACCTGGTTCAGTTCCCAGCACCCACATGGCAGCTCACAACTGTCTGTAACTCCAAGATCTGACACCCTCACACAGACATACGAGCAGGCAAACAACAGTGCCCATGAAATAAAAATAAACAGAAAGACGGTGCCTTTAGGTGGCATTTCCGAGCTGCAAGCTCAGGTCTTTCTCCTAGGGGAAGTGTGGACCCTGCTGGGCCTCACAGTTGGAGCTCCACCTGAGCAGCCCTGCTTAACAAGGCTTTTCACTTGAGGGCTGGGAGAGAGGGGGGACATTTTAAAGTGAATGAGGGAGCAGGTTCCTCATTAAGTCTAAAGTGGGGGTGGGAGGTCCTCTGGAAAGGAGGCCTCTGGGTCTGCATTTCCTGTTGAAATTATTGGCACCTTCTCCCTCCTGAGCAAGGCTATGGAAACAGGAAAAAAAAAAAAAAAACAGTTTGGTCCTAGGCACATCTTGGGGAGGTTGGTCCTGAGACCCTCAGTGAGCACAGGAAATGTGCTGCCCCTCCCCCATGCCTGGGATATAAGTTTGTGAGTTTTGTAATGAGATGGGGTCTCGCTGTGTATGTCTGGCTGGCTTAGAATTTAATACATAGATGAGGCTGACAGCGAGATTCGCTGGGACTAGAGTTACATGTGCTTCACATTGCCTACAGTCTTTGCTCTTCATTGGTCCTCCACACTGCTGGATACTTACTTTGTGGCGGCAGACATCAGACTTCCCTATCAAAATCAATAAATAATAGCCAAGAGATGGTGGTGCACGCTTTTAATCCCAGCACTCTGGAGATGGATCCACTCAGGTGGATCTCTGAGTTCAAGGCCAGTCTGGCCTACAGAGTGAGTTCCAGGACAGCCAGGGTCACATAGAAAAACCCTGTCTCGAAAAGCTTAAAAAAAAAAAAAATTAAAAACTGTCTTCATATGTTCATGCCTTTACTTTAATCTCAGTTCTCGGTACTTGAGAGGCAAGTGCCTTAACAAACCTTGTCTGTTTTTGAGACAGGGTCTCACTGTATAACCCTGGTTGGCCTGGAACTTGCTCAATCAACCAAGCTTTGTTCTCTGTTCTTTGTTTATTTTTCTTTATTGAGACAGGGTCACATATAGCTATTCTTGCCCTGTACTTGCTGATCTCTGAGTTCCCGGGCCCTCTGACTGCAGCTGTCAAGTGCTGGGATACAGCACACCAGTTGTCGGCTTTGCCAGCCCAAATGCTTTTCCCTTTACAGTTTCACAGAGGAAACATTTGTTCCCACCGTAGACCTAACTGATAGTACAAATGTTTTTGTTGCTGTTTAAGACAGGTTTTGCTGGATACCTCTGTCTGTACTCTCATTACATAACTCAGGCAGGACTTAAAGTTCTATCCATCCTCCAGCTTCAACCTGTACTAGGATTACAGGTAAGTGCTACCTCATCTGCCTAATGTTCTTTGGTTTTCTTTCTTCTTTTGTGGTTGTTTTGGTTTTGTGGCTGTTTTGTTTTGTTTTGGAGACAAGGTCTAGCTGTGTAGTTCTGACTATCCTGGAACTCATTTTGTACATAAAATTAACCTCAAACTCAGAGATCCGCTTGCCTCTGCCTCCTGAGTGATTGGATTAAAGGTGTGTGCCACTATGCCCAGCTTGTTTCCCTTCTTTATTATATCAAGAACATTCACCTTTTACTTCAAGGAGGCTCTTTATTGCTTTTGTCTGGTGTAACCATAATGCCAGCATCACCTACTGATGTGCTTTGGGGCCATTATAAAGCTTAACTGTAGCCACAGCAACACAGGATAATTCTTCTATAAACAAGAAGGTTATATGTTCAGGTGTGGTCCAACACTCCTGTAATCCCAGCACTTGGAAGGCGAAGACAGGATTGCTATAAATTCAAAGCTAGCTGGTTGATGTAATAAGTTCCAAGCCATTCGGGACAGCAAACTGAGACTTAGCTCAAAAAGGAATGGGGGGGAGGTGTTTTGGCTGAAGGATGAGTAGCATAGACCATGTGGATACAATGTGGATACAATGTAGATACATCAAAGGGTAAAACAGTGGATGGGCCAAAGAAATTGTCACTACTCAGAATAATGTGCCATTTAAACCTTATGAACTGGCGTTTTTCTGAAAATTTCCACTTAATATTTTCAGATCAAAGCCAACCACAAACCAGGCAGTGGTGGTGCATGCCTTTAATCCCATTTAATCCCAGCACTTGGGAGGCAGGTGGATGGATCTCTGTGAGTTCGAGGCCAGAAGGGTCTACAAAGTGAGTTTCAAAAAACAAAAAACAAACAAACAAACAAACAAACAAACAAACAAAAAAAAACAAAGTGAGTTTCAGGGCAGCCAGACGTGTTACACAGAGAAACCCCATCTAGAAAAAAAAAAAAAAAAAGCTTAGAAAGTAAAAAAAGTAGATTGTGTTGCCTATGTGAGTTACAAAGTTCTTCCTTTGTTTTAGTTTTTCTCTTCTTTTTTAAAATTTTTATTTTATGTGCATTGGTGTTTTGCCTACATGTATGTCTGTATGAGGGTGCCAGATTTTAATTACAGACAGTTGTGAGCTGCCATGTGGTGCTGGGAATTGAACCCAGGTCATTTAGAAGAGCAGCCAGTGCTCTCAACTGCAAAACCATCTCTCCAGTCTCCCTGCCCCATTTTTTGTTTGTTTTCAAGACAGGATCTTCGTGTATCCCTGGCTATCCTGGAACTCACACTGTAGACCAGGCTGGCCTCAAACCCAGAGATTTGCCTACCTTTGGCTCCTGAGTGCTGGGATCAAAGGTGTAAGTCACTTCTGTCCAGCAAGTTTCTTAATAAAGGAAGGAAAGTTAGGTGTGGTGATATAAGCCATTACTACCAGTACTCGGAGGCAGAGGCAAGAGTGGTACCTCATATTATAATCTCAGCAATCAGGAGGCAGAAGTAGGAGGATGGATGTGAGTCCTCTGAGGTCAGGCTATTGAATATCAGGCTAGTTAGAGCTATGTTGTGGGACCCTATCTCAAAATAAAATAAAATAAGGCCCAGAGAGACAGCTAAGCAGTAAAGACCACTTGTTCTTATAAAGGTCCTGGATTAGGTTCCCAGCAGCTACATAACGGCTCACAACCATCCATATTTCCCATCAATAACTCTAGTTTCAGGGAACCCAGTGCCGTCTTCTGACTTCTGCAGACACCAGATCCGTAAATGGTACAAATACATTCACATACTCACATATACAAAATAAGATAAATCAACAAAAATATAACAACCAAGTATGGCAGCATTTACCTATAATCAGAGCACTCAGGAGATGAAGGCCAGAGAACCAGAAGTTCAAGGCCAGCCTTAGCTGCACAGTAAGATCAAGGTCCACCTGGGTCACTACACTCATCTTCCTCCGCGGGAGTAGAACTTGTGGAGCTGGTTCTCTCCTTCCACTTCTTTATCCCAAGAATCAAATTCAGGACTTCAGGATTGGCAGCACCTTTACCCAGCTCATCGAACAGTGATCATGTCTCCAAAATAAAACAAAACAAATAAAACAAAAAAATGTGAAAATGACAAGAATGTGAGGAACATTAAAATAGAAACAATGCTCTGTTCCCGGGACCACAAGAGCTAGAAAAGAAAGAGTAGGCGGGACCAGCAGATGAAGTCAACACATAAAACTGATCCTTGGGAGCTGCAGTGGGGCTCCATAGGTAGTGTTCACCTCGCATGAATGGGGCCTTAAACCCACACACGGTTCCTCATAAACCTGGCATGGTGTCCTGTATCACTGCACTCAGGAGGTGGAGACAGGAGGATGGACTGTAAACTCATCAAGGCTAGCCTGGTCCCTCATCTACAATTTAATGCAGCTACATGGCTAGATCTTGGGGGCAGGGGCAAGCAAAGGGCAAGAGAAAAGCAAAGAAGGGCCAACTTGCAGGGATGTCTCCCCATTTGATATTGCCACAAGATATAGTCATCTACAAGTTCACAATTGAAGCTTGAGAATTGTACAATTACATTACCAAAGAAAACTAAAAAAAAAGGGGGGAGTATATAACTTGTTGTTGTTGTTGCTGCTTTGAGACAAGATCTGTGTAGCTCTGCCTGGCTTGGAACCCACTGTGTAGACCTGGCTGCTCTCAAACCTCTTGAGTGCTGGGATTAAATAAAGGCCTGCACCGCCAAGCCCAGTTTCATGTTTTAAGTAAGCTTATAGTTCTGTGTTGGGACAATTCATAGCTGACTTTTGGCCACACGTGTCCTGTGAGTTGACCACTCCTGGATACACTAAGTCTCTGGACAGAAGACTTTTGTCAACGTTTCCAAAGGGGCTTTTCAGAGAAGTGTGGAAGCCCAAACTGTCTCAGGACAGCCAATTCTACCTCAGGTTTCTAAGTAGCTCCCGGGTACTCTCAGGCTAGACTCGGTGCCAGATGCAGCCCTTGCTTAGGTGGGGGGACAGGTCCTAGGACCGAGAGAGTAGAATTCCATTTTCTCCTCTCTTATGAAGGGGAGGTCAGCACTCACCCAGGGGCTGAAGATTCTGCTCTCTCTACAAGCTTGGTTGCAGGTGGGGCCCAGCAATTGGTAGCTATACCAAATTGTGCAGATGACACTAACGCCTGTCTAAGTTTCAGATCTACTATTTCACTCAGGTATAGGCTCTTAGAGGGATACAGTTGCCTGGTTTATGCCCTTTGCTGTTACCAGTGCCGAATCAGAGGCTAGACATGCAGTTTGGGCTGGGGTTTGTTGATGCAGCTGGTGGCAGAGCCCTTGCCAAGCCTGTGCAAAAACACAGGACCAATCCTCAGCACCAAATGTATAGAGGAAAGAGAAATGATATATTTAATAGGTAGATTTACCCAATACTTAACAGCAATGATGATAAGGATAGCAACCAGCCAGCCATTGACTGAGGAATGCTTATGCGCCAAGCTCTGAGCTCAAAGATTTTGGCAGATGAAAACCCCAGCAGTCACCCCAGTTAACATTATAGGGTGAAATTGAGGCTCAGATGATCAAGCGCTTTACATTGGATCACCAAGGCAGAGACCGGGAATCCAAGCGGGAGCCTCAGTGCGGTTCCTGGAGCCCAGCGGCCGCGCGTGCGCTGTCCCGAGAACGCCAGCGGCTGGGATTGTGGCGAAAGTGCGGCTGCGGAAGCGCAGCGACGCCGGGGAGGAGGAAGCGAGCTCCGCTACTGGGCTGAGGGGCTGCTGGCGCCATGGGCCGCCTGCATTGCATGCAGGACCCGGTGCCCGAGGCCGTGCGCGGCGACATGCAGCAGCTGAACCAGCTGGGCGCGCAGGTGGGCCTCGCCTGGGCGCGGGAGGGGCTCAGGAGTGGGCCGGCTCGCTCCGGAGATGGGGACCCCTGGGCACCAGATCTGTAGGCTCCTGGAGATGGGAATGAGGGGATTCCGAGGGGCCCCGGGTTGAAGAGATTAGCGGGGCAGGTGGAATGCAAGCCGAGTGTGGGCATCAGTGTGGCCAGGCCCGAGTGGGGCTCTGGGCCTGAGCCGGAAGAGGCTCAGACGCGACCGGCGACCACACCCCTTCCCAGTGCCGGAAAGGAACGGTGCTTGCTTTCGAGGCTCTGTCCGGTGTGTAGTGGAGCTCGGAATGCCACCTCCTGTTCAGACTGCGGGAATTAGCTAAGTCAGGGATCTGGGACCATCCTGTCCTCCTGCCGAAATAAACGTGTTACAGTGGTCCTTGTCAATACCAGCACTTAGGTGACCACAAGAATTCCGATCCAGCTTTCAAGGCCAGTCTGAACTACGTGAGACCTGCTGTCAAAAAACAAAGTAGATAAATAGATAAATAAAGATAGATAAAGAAATAACCCTTCACCCCTCGGAATGTACTACCGTGTTCTTTCCCAGACTGGGTCTTAACTTCCGAGGAGCTGAGGTCCTCAACTCCCCCACACACTTAGTAGGCCTGTTTGAGGAATAAAAAACAAACTATGCAGGACAGCCTAGTGCTCACTTTAATCCCAACATTCTGGAGGCTTGGGAAGTCAAATCTCTGTAAACTCAAAACCAGTCTCTTCTATATAATGAGTTTCAGGCCAATTAGAGTTACATTTGTCTCAAAATAAGTAACAAAAATAAGATCTATTGGTAGTACATGTCTGTTGCGCCACCCCTTGAGAGGCTGAAGCAGAAAAATTGAAAGTCTGGAGCCAGGAATTCAGAACTAAGTTGTCAGACTTCAAAGGGAAGTAGCTAATGTTTTACCATTACCACAGTTCTTTGGAAGACTTTTTGTAACAAAAAAAGAAAGGAAGCTTCTACTGTTAAAAAAAAAAAAAAGTTTTTTCCCCCCCCCAGACAGGGTTTCTCTGTACTTTTAGAGCCTGTCCTGGAACTCACGCTGTAGATCAGGCTGGCCTCGAACTCCCACAGATCCACCTGCCTCTGCCACCCAAGTGCTGGGATTAAAGGCAAGCGCCACCACCGCCCAGTTTAGGTTATTTGGGAGTTGGCTTTGGCGCTGTCCCACTACTGTGCAAGTTCCAAGGACTGAACTCAGGTGCCTATGCCAACTGAGCCATCTTGCAGCCCCAAGATCTTTTTGTTGTTGTTGTTGTTCTTTCAAGACAATGTTTCTCTGTATTACAGTCCTAGCTGTACTGGAACTCACTTGGTAGACCAGGCTGGCCTCGAACTTACTGAGATCTGCCTGCCTCTGCCTCCAGAGTGCTGGGATTAAAAGTGTGCGCCTCCACTTCCTGGCTTTTTGTTTTATTTTTAGACAAGGTCTAACCTGACTGGCCTGGAACTGAAAGCAATCCTCTTTCCTTTGCCTTCCAGGGCTAGGATTCTGACCTTGTTTGTTTGAGTCTGATTCTCAATAAATTGCCCAAACTGGCCTTGAATTTAGAATCCTCCTTCCTCAACCTCCGGAATAGCTGAGATTACACTCCTGTGTCCAGATCTTTAAAAAAAAATTTAACTTAAACCATTTTACTGTGTAGCCTATATGAACTTCAAATTCACGATCCTCCTGCCTCAGCCTCCTGAGTACTGTGCTAGGGTCGCAGAAGTTGTGGCCTGGTTTGTTTGTTTCTTGAGGCAAGGTCTCACTCTGAAGTGTGGCTGGCCTAGAGCTCGCCAGTGATCCCTGCCTCTGCCTCCCCAAGTGCTGGGTGCAATTGCAGGAGTGCACTACCTTGCCTGGCTGAGCCTCTGTCCTTTGTTCATGAACAGTGCTTTCCAGGGAGAAAGGTCTGTGTAAGCATGGAGGGGGCAGATATGAGCCACTTACTCTCAACAGTGGAAGTCATGGTTCTGGGGCTCTGATTGTCGTTAAAATTGCATGTGTAGTATGACTTCATCCTCTAGGAAGGTTGTCTGGTCATTGAAGGAGTGTACCCTTTCCCTGGCTGACTTTTCCCTGACATTGAGCAGCTCTCCTGCTGTTTGCTTTTGATAGTAGTTAAGATTTTGGTAGGGAGAGATAGCTGATGAGCATTTCCTGGGCAAGGCAGCAGCATAAGAAGACTTCCACAACAAGCACTTCCCGTGCATTTAGCACGAGTTAAGATGCTGTGAAGACAAAGGCTGTATCAAGAAATGCAAGGGAAGTCTGTGTTTCTTATCAAGACTGCAAATCATAGGTGTGTGATGCCCCCCCCCCAATGCTCATTCTTGCCAAGAAACAAGAGAGCAGACCCTGCCTCAAAGGTGGTCATTGTACCACACGCCTTTATTTTCTTATTGATTTGATTTGATTTTTAAATTTCTTTCTTCTTTTGTTTTTTGGAACAGGGGTTCTCTGCGTATCAGTGGCTGTCCCGGAACTCACTCTGTAGACCAGGCTGGCCTTGAACCAGAGATTCACCTGCCTCTGCCTCCCGAGTGTTGGGATTAAAGGTGAGCACTACCACTGCCCGACTATACACCTTTATTTTATATTATTATTTTTGTTTATTTTTCAGACAGGGTCTCACTATGGAGCCCTGGCTGGCCTCGATCTATAAACCAGTGCCACACAGAGACACTCGCCCGCCCTCAAAACAGCAACAGAGGGAGCTGGAGAGATGGCTCAGTGGTTAAGAGCATTGCCTGCTCTTCCAAAGGTCCTGAGTTCAATTCCCAGCAACCACATGGTGGCTCACAACCATCTGTAAAGAGGTCTGGCGCCCTCTTCTGGCCTTCAGGCACACAGACAGAATATTGTATACATAATAAATAAATATT